TTACATTCACTCATAATCTTGGGTAATTATAGTTTGAATAAAAAGAGAAAATTCTTAGTAAACACTCATGTAACATGGACTTGGGTGGACATGATCATCTCGGCTGTGAGTGTTTGATGTCAAAGGTTGTCCTCACCACATCTCCTGCCCGTAAGCCAGTTTGGCTGTAGACGGTCACTGAGATGAGAAGAGACGATAACCTCCCCTGAGTTTGCTGGCTTCCACTTCAAAAGGAGGAGAGACAGACAAGGACAACCACAAGTAACAAGGACTGGCGCTGGAGACTGTGGCATGAACTGAATTTTTCAAATGATGTGACATGAATAAGGAGACTGAAACAGTAAATCGTTGTAATGGAAGGCGATTTGAAGGATCATGGGAAGACAGCCTTCGGTTCACGTCTTTAAAGGATTAGTTCACTTTTGAAAAAACTTTTGCTGATAATTTACTCACCCCCATGTCATCCACGATGTCCATGTCTTTCTTTCCTCAGTCGAAAAGAAATTTAGGTTTTTGATGAAAACATTCCAGGATTTTTCTCCATATAATGGACTTCAATGGGAACCGGATGGTTCAAGGTCCAAAAGACAGTTAATAACTGTTTCAGATGCAGCTTCAAATGTCTTTAAACGATATCAGACGATGAATAAGGGTCTTATCACGCGAAACGATCGGTTATTTCAAAGCTTATTCCAAAAATGTAACTTTTCTAAGTACAAATGCTAGCCTCGCTCTATTCTGTGAGTCGCGTTTGTAACGTCACGTAATACGTAATTACGTTCAAAAGGTCACGGGCGACGTATCCGGAAGTACAGAATCAAAATCGTCCGACATCGTTGTTTTACCTTTTAATTCCTTTTTTGTAAACGGCGTTTGAGTTAGTTTTCACGTTCAACCTATGTGTTCAACTTGTAAACACTCTGACTCTGTACTTCTGGCTACGTCGCCCGTGACCTTTTGAACGTAATTACGTACTACGTGACGTTGCAAACGCGCCTCACAGAATGGAGAAAGGCTAGCATTTGTCTTTAGAAAAGTTACATTTTTGGAATAAGCTTTGAAATAACCGATCGTTTCGCATGATAAGACCCTTATTCATCGTCTGGTGTCGTTTAAAGACATTTGAAGCTGCATCTGAAACTGTTATTAACTGTATGTAAACCGACAGATTACTCAGATCATATCAGCTAGAAATCCCAAGGGTTCACTCTAAACACAGTCTGCTTTAAGCTATTATACTGGAACAGCTTCCAGAGGAGATCAGATGTGCTCCTAAACACATCAGATCCAGACTCGAAACACTGCATTTACTGAATGAGCACTGTGCCACGGTAACGTTACGTCCCACTGCATTTATTTTTACTTTAAACTGTTTTAACTTATTTTAATTTCTTCTATGTAAAGTAGAGCCCGACCGATAAAGGATTTTGAAGGCCGATACCGATACAAATATTTTTGGGTTTTAAAATCCGATATATCGGCCGATATTTTATTTATTTATTTTTTTTAAACTGGACATGATAGTCACAAATTTTGTCATGCTTATTTGAGTTAAGAGAACTGATGGGGATGATCTTTTAATTGTTATTCAAGCAATGTATGTATCGTGAAGAATTTAACGAGTGTTGCCAACAGGAACGGTGTAGAGTGCCCTCTGGTGGACAAACTATACAACTCCAACACTCATGACATGGTTCAAGCGTGTTTCGTCTGTTTTTATGTTATTTTTGAAATATTCATTCATAGGCCATTATAAATGCCGATACCGATAGTTTGGAAAATGCTTAATATCGGCCGATAATATCGGCACTTTGAATTATCGTGTATGAAACGTGCTATATAAATAAAACTTGCCCTGATCTCTGGTCAGTTTTTTTTTTTTTTTTAATTAATTGTAATACATATGAAGGTATAACATAGTAAAGGATATATTAACCTAATTTCACAAGCCCTGCCTAATAAACAGGCACAACTAGAAAATAATTTGCATATAGTTTTTAAAAGGCATCATTAAAATATTCTGGGCAAAGATAGTATTTTGAGCAGCAGGTGCTGCCAGGCTGCACTGTTTTGAATACAATTTACAGAGCAATCGGTTCATTTTCAGTATCACATGATCCTTCAGAAATCATTCTGATTTGCGGCTCAGGAAACTTTTGATTATTATCGAAAATGGCTATGATGCGACATAACTTTCAATAATTATAAATTTTGACTCACTTTTAATCAACTTAATAGGCTCTAAAAACTGGCCCCAGTCTGAATAAGAGAACATATTGAAAGAAAAATGAAAGGACAGGCAGAATGCAACAAGTAAAACACTGCCATTTAATAAAAAAAAAAGCTCCAGGTTCAATGTCTGGGAACCAGACTCTGGGTGCAATGCTTCAGAAGACATAATTTGATTTAAAAAAAAAAAAATCCTGCATACTTACAAATTCACCAAAGACGACCATCTCGGAGAAGAGGGAATAAAAGTAAAAGGAGATACATAAAACAACCTTTCCATTCACTTCTTACCTTGTATTGTGAAGTACAAAGCTAACTGGTGCAACTAAGCAAGTCACATCAAATAAAAACATGGACTTTTTCCTTTGAATGGCATCTGTGTGCTCCTCTATTCAGCCATTGAACACCCTGAACTGTGAAAGGTCTCTAAAAGCAGGCCTGTGTGTAACCGGCATGTCACGTTATTTCTTTGCAAAGGAGATTTTCATTGCATTGCTCTGTGTGATCTTAAAGCCTTGCAGCGCTTCTCTGGCTGCACCCGCCTGCACCTCATTATCAAACTCCACAAAGGCGATGTCGTGACGGCCGGGCACGAGACGGACTTCTTTGAATCCAGGGAACCTATGAGAAGCGAGCAACATCGTAATTAGCAAAAGATTACGCATTTTAAGATAATGGATTTGAAAACAAATACTCACTGGTTGAATAGCATGGAGAGCATGAGCTCGTTGGTCTCCTCTGGGAGATTGGTGAGAAACAGGATGTGGTTGGGAGGGTTTTCCGACACCTACAAACAAAATTAATGATCAATAATAAGGTCACAAATCCAGAATGCGTCTTTAATCTGATTTTGAAACATACCTGCTGTGGCATCTGGCCAGGCATTTGTCCTGGCATCATCTGACCTGGGGGCATGGCACCGGGTGGCATCTGTCCGGGTGCCATGCCAGGCGGAGGCATCATACCAGGCGGAGGCATGTAGGGAGGCTGACCGGGCATTGCCATCATGCGAGGAGCTTGGCTCATGGGAGGCATTCCCTATAAATGACAAACATAAATTCAACAACAGCCTTAGAACAGGCTACAATGGAAAAACACACACACACACAGTCCAAAATATACTAACAGGCATAGCTGCAGGAACCCCGGCCATAGCAGGAGTGGCAGCGGACGCCCCCTTCTTCCCAGCACCAGCTTCAGGGACTTTAGGCTTTCTCTTCTCTTTCTTACGGTCTCGCTCCACATATGTGCCCTTCATTTTCGCAATGATATCAGAGTCCACCTTTGAATATTGAATACGCTGTGAACAGAATGATTTAAAAGCTTTTTAGTACAAAATGTGGTTTACTTAAACACGTCAATTACTTCAAAATATGTAGGATTGTTTTTTTTGAAAGAAGAACTCCCCAAGGCTGCATTTATTTGATCAAAAAGACACTTAAACAGTAATGTTGAGAATTATTACTACAATTAAAAATAAAAGTTCTCTTTATGAATGCATTTTAAAATGTCACATGATCCCTCAGAAATCATTTTAAAAATGCTGATTTCCTGCTCAAGAAACGTTTAACATTACAAATGTTGAAAACAGTTATGCTGCTTTATATTTTTGTGGAAAATCAATCCTTTTTTTCAGCAAGTTCAACAGCATTTCCTTCTTTACTCACTATTGATCAATTGTATGCATCCTTGCTGAAAGAATAAAAAAAAAAAATCCACTAATCTCCAATCTTTTAAACAGTAGGGCAACACTCCTGCTGAAAGGTTTGAGAAGGGAAAAAAAAAAACTCAGTTGACACAAGTTAAACGATTTACAAAAACATAGTATATCATACCATGGGTTTATCATAAAAAGGGAAGCCCTGCATAGAGCGGAGTGCATTGGAAGCGCTGTTGATCTCCTTGAAGATCACAAAGGCCTGACCCCTCATTTTCAGGGTAGGGGAAACAAGGATGTCCAGGATTTGTCCAAACTGGGAGAATATAGCGTACAACGACTTTTTCAGTTCTGTTAAACACAAGAGAAAAGGGTTGCAGCATGAACAATGTGCAAAATTCAATGCTACAGCCAAATTTTTAAAAAAACAAAACATCAATTCTAGAAAGTTGAACAAAACCATACCATCTTTTTTGATCTTCTCATTCAAGTTGTTAATGTAAATAGTGTGGTTCAGCCTCATCTCTTGGCCAGCCATGATTCTGAAATGATACACATGATAGTAAACTACATGAAAGGAATGAAGCTTCAACATGCTTCTGTCCAAAAACTAGAATGTGTAGAAAAAAGAGCACGTGGCAAAAGATGGAAGTGGTTTGGGATTCGGTAAAAGTCCTAAATATGAAAGAAATACATTATTAATTTCTTATTGCACGCTTTAAAACAGTGAATGATTGACCTAGCGTTTAGTTACCTCGTTGCTTCAAAGGAAGCTAATGGGTTAGCATGTTAGCTATGCAGACAAAGAATTAAAATTTCCACAAGTGGAAAACACGTATTTATAATATAACAAGTTAAACGGCTAATACAAACAAAAAATACGCATTAGATGAATTTACTCACAATTATTTGACGAGCTCCAGCCGAGTGAGCCGACTACAAACCTGAATGAAAATGCACACAGGAAAAATTAGCGCCTGAAAAACCGCCTTCTCGGAAATATAAGAGGATTCGATTGGACAGCTGGTCTCACAGCGAGCCTGTCGATTGGTTGTCTAGTGAGCACATCCGAGTACAACACGCATTCTGATTGGATACTGTGGAGTGGGCGAGCCATTGATGGTGTTACGCCGATTTCTGTTCGGGTGTCTCGCCGTCGAATATAATCTATAACATGCAGCTTCTACTATTGACTTGAAATCTTTTTGATTTGTTTAAGTAAAAATACATCGTCTTTTTTTAATCATTCGGGATATTTTGAGTTTTTATTGTATTTTTGTATTCACGACTATGGCCGTATTTGACCTGATTTGGTATTCCCTATCTAGAGAACACTACCCAGTTCACAGCTGATAGTGAAATAACTTCTTGGACGCTGATTCGTGTAATTTTGCCTATTCTTACCTCGTGCACTCGTTTTGATGTCGGTTCATTGGAAACAACATTGTAATGTATGTCTGTAACGCCTTACTGTCACAATACTCTTATACTGTCACATACTTTTTCATTTACTAACTCTTCTGTTGCAGAAGCATGTCAGTGGAGAATGTTTCACCTCTTCCTCCTCCTCCTCCTCCTCCATCACTGGCTCCCTCAGTGTCCAGCAAGAAGAAGCTTTACCAGGCTTTATCAGAGGGAAGGGCCCCTGTAGAGGGGGACCATGAAGAGGCCAAGATTATTATAGGACAGAGAGAAAGCAGGTGAGCACAAATCACAGTTACAAAGAAACTCTCAGAAAACTTTTTCTATACAGTCATGATTTCATCGCAGCATTTCTCAATGAAGTTTTAGGAAGGATCTGCAATGGTTGCTGTTCAATAAGTATGTGCCTTCACTCATTCAAGATGGTCCACAGTAAGTTTCCATAAAAACACCTGTTAGTCGACTGATATGGATTATTTGATGGTCGATGAGGCCGATATCTTAAAAATCAGGTTGGCGTAAAACCTAACATGATTAAATATTATTGTTCATAATATTTATTTACTAAATCAGAAATTAATAATTTGAAAAAATGAAAATTCTGTCATTACTTACTCTCCCTCATGTCACTTTCGTTAACAAATAAAGTTTTCGGGAACACAAATAAATATCTATGTAATTAAATCTGAGAACTTTCTATCCTTCCATTGACAGCTAAGCAACCACGTTAAATTAATCCATGTGGATTGCACACATAAATAAAGTGTTAAAAAAAATAAATGCTCTCAAAAATATGGCAAATCTGTAAACACTGGGTATCATTACATACAGTACACATTGAATATCGCATGAATATTCAGACACTTGTCGACCAAACGTATCATCCTATGTCGATATTTTAAAAAAGCCAAATATGGACCACTAGGGATCCATGTGTGCTCTGCTAGATGATATGTGATTTCAGATGTGGTCTCGTGGCCTTATGGATGGCGGCTCATCTACTTCATCCTCCAGAGACGCTGGTCATGGAGACACTGGTCCAAGCCGCAAAACACAACGCCTACACTGAACAAGGAGAGATGTTTTCTGGTACTAACATCTGCTTTTAAGTGGAACTGGACAACTGTAACTGTATTGCAGGTCGTTCTGCTGAGCATTAACTGTAAAAACCTCTAAATGCTATCATTTGTTATAATGCTATTTTTTTTCTGCTTGGAATTAGCCCGTGACATGGCCAAGCTGGCGGAGGAAGTGTGTGGGTGCAGAGTTCAGAGGTTATCAGGAGGCATGATGGGAGAAAACACAGACGTCATTCTGAAACACCTCGCTGGCGGACAGCCTGTTCTTATACCGTATCTTTACTGCTTATATGTTTGATTGGTTTAGTTTTCTGAAATCATTTTTATTATTTTATTTGATCACTTTTTTTTTATAACTGTTTTCTGAAATTTAATTACCACTTGGTATTTTTTTAGTTTGAACACTTTTCTAAAACATTTATTTTATTTTATTATTTTTTTAAGTTGATTTTTTTTTTGTTGCTGTTTTCTGAAATTATTTTATTCTACCGCTAGGCCAAGTTTTTTTGTTTTACTCACTGTTTTCTGATATAATTTTTTACATTTCATTACATTATTATTATTTTAAGTTTTTTGTTTCGCTCACTGTTTTCTGACATTTTTATTTTATGTATCACTATATTTTGTTGTTATTTTCGATCACTGTTTTATGAAATAATTTATTTTACCACTAGGCCAAGTTTTTTTGTTTTACTCACTGTTTTCTGAAATAATTTTAATTTATTTTATGTGGTTTTGTTTTTTTTACCACTAATTAATTTTTTGGTGGATCACTGTTTTCTGAAATTATTTTATTTTACCACTAGGCCAAGTTTTTTTTTATTTCGCTCACTGTTTTCTGATATAATTTTTACATTACATTACTTTAAGTTTTTTTGTTTTGCTTGCTGTTTTTTTTAAATTATCACTATATTTTGTTGTTGTCGATCACTGTTTTCTGAAATTATTTTATTTTACCACTAGGCCAAGTTTTTTGTTTCGCTCAGTGTTTTCTGATATCATTTTTACATTATTTTATTTGCCACTAGGCTTTATAATTACTGTTTTCTGAAACTATTCTGCTCTATTTTGTTTAATTTCACCACTAGGACATTGTTGTTTTTTTTTATCAGTTTCCTAAAATATAGTTTTTACATTTTGATTTCCTTTTGCCATTAACAGCCACATCTCAGACTAGTTTTAGAATCCTCTAAACTGCCAAAACTGTGTATGTAAGTGCTAACATCATCAAATACAATGACTCAAAGACTTGATGAGTCATAAATCACACATAAATAGACCGCATTCCTTCCCTGACTCCTCTGGCACAGATATGATGAGGATTTTAATCATGAACCTTGTCTACGCAACGGCCACAAAGCCCACTGGGCAGTCGTCTCAGGTGAGACTGAATACTCAAGACAAGTCACAGAGTTATACAAGGGAATAACACTTCAATCTAATCATTGTTTCCCGAATCCCCAGGTATATTACTAGGCTTAAGACAGGGGTGTGTGGACAGCAAACACTTCCCTCCTGACGTCACACTTCCCTGGCTTCATCTCTCTCAGAACGAAGCTTCTGTCTCTTGGCCGATGGATGGCATTGAAGAGGTGTTTGTTCTGGCGAAGCAGGGGAAGAGTCTCCGTTACCAGCTGTGGAAGTTTGAGGCGCTTACACAGAGCAACAGCCAGCTCAAGGAGATGGACCCTCAGAGAGCCGGCGATGGGACGCGTTACGTGGTTCCTCTCGGAGGCGTTCAGGACGGTCTGGCGGGACAAGTGCTTTTGTTTAACACAAACACACAGATGAGCTGATCAAAAACACCAAAGAAGCTGTGTCTGGAGTCGGAGTTGGATGCACACCTGTGTTTTCAGTCTTCATCCACTAGGTGTCCTTATAGATCACATGTTTGTAAAGCTGCTGAGCTAAAAATGAAGTGATTAAATTACTAAAACTGATGCAGTAAAATGTCATTATTGCATGCTCATGGCTACTGAATAGCTCACTTTGAAATTAATTTTTGATATGTTTTATCTTACCTCAAGGGCATCCAAGATGTAGGTGTCTTTGTTTCCACAGTAGTTTCAATTTTGATATTTTTAGGTCAAACCGTTTTTGTCTATTAGCCATATAATGGAGATTTATGGTCACCACCTCAAACGTGTGGTTACAAGAGGTAAAAACGATATAAATACTGTTCGTTTTCTCACACAAACCACTCGTTTGGTGTCTTAGGCCGTCAATGTGCACTTACATTTACGAGTCATTAAATAATGTTTAATTTGGACTTCTCTGTGCATGCTCTTTGAGGTGGTGACCATAGACCTCCATTATATGACTGACAGACAAGAACAGTTTGACCTAAATATATAAAAATTGAAAATACTGCGGAAACAAAGACACCTTGCCCTTGAGCTAAGATAAAACATACCAAACATACCAAAAATTAATTTCAAAGTGAACTATCCCTTAGGCTGGTTTTGTCGTCCAGAGTCACAAATGTGGATGAATACATTTTAAAAGCTGCAGACGGTTTTAAAGACCAATCTGTCATTTAACTTTGTGGTTAAGATGCTTCTCTTTTCTAACTTTGTCTGCTAGCGCAAAACTTTGTGCAACGATTCTGTCGGTTTTGAAAGCTGTATTTGTGAAGCAATCCTCTTGGCTAATCTCGTTCCCCTCAAACCGATCTGAGGATGCGAGTCATTACTGACGACCATCAGCAACAGGACAAAGTGTTTTTATCTGTTCTGATGTCATTCAGAACACGTTAGTCATATGTTGTGCAACTCTAGGAAGAGCTGTTCTGAACAGGAAATGATGCTAGAGGAAAACATCGCTTTGCAGGAATTGAACATTTACATTTAAAGTGAGCAGTGTCCTTGTAATCTAAATCACTTCCTCTCGAGTCTCGACTCACAAGAATGTTTTATTCAAGAGTTGAAATGTTTTGGAAAGTGTCTCTCATGCTCACCATGTGAAATATTATTACAATTTAAATACATTGTTTCAATATATTTAGAAAATGTCATCATAAATCATTCTGATATGCTGATTTGCTACCCAAGAAACATTTATGATTATTATTAATGTCCAAAACATTGCTTCTTATTTTTGTTTAACCCTCTGGGGTTGTTCGGCCCAAATGGATCCGAAGAATTTAAATAAAAAATTTTTTTTTTAAATCACAGCTTCCTCGGAATGGTCTGAAATTTGGTGACTTTGTTGATATTTGGTATTTGAACAAATACAGGGACAGGATGTGAGTAGTCTAAGTGGTTGTAAAAAAATAGTCACACTTGGGGACCCGCATGGAAAATGAATGGGAAATTGGCAAAAATGTGAAAATAGTGAGTTTTTTTGTGCGTACAATCTATAAATCAGCCACGATCTTAAAAAAAGCACACCATAGTGAAGGGGTGAAGATATAAAACATCTAGAGTGCAAAACGGGCACATCCACACACACACAAACACACTTTTATACACAAACACACCAACAATTTCAGATTATACATGTTTTGCATTTTTAAAATGCTCAGTTTGTCCATCCATCTCATTTCAAAAATTGCTTTTATGAGGCCTAGGCTTGACTCTAAAATGAAATGCAGCTTTAAAAATAAAATTTTTTTTAAAGTATTTTTTCTATTATGTATAATGGGGGGAAATTTTGCCATAATTATTGCATTAATACTAATGATAATTTTTTTTTATTTTTTGACATTTTCTCAAAACACCAAAAAAGAAAAGAAAAAATATTATAAAAAACGAGTACAAAAAAAAAAAAAAAAATCATGATTTTTTTTTTTTTTTTTTTTAAATATGAATCCCGCCCTTTGGGTCCATTTTTGGACCCGAACAACCCCGAGTGTGACTCTGAAACGAACAACCCCAGAGGGTTAAACAATATTTTTTCCAGAAAAAAATATTATTTGATTAATTGAAAGCTCAAAATAACCGCATTTATTTAAACGATTACCCTTTGTAACAATGTATTGACATTTTAGACAAATTTAATGCATAGAGCAAAACACTTAACCCCTAGTTGCTCCAGAGGCATGCGACCTCTGACATATATAGCAATTGTAAGTCGCTTTGGATAAAAGCATCAGCTAAATGAATGAATTTAAAGTGTATTAAACAAGAATGGTTCCAGTTTATTGTATTGGCTTTCAAGGCAACAATGATTGAAGGAGATGCGAGTACAAATGCTCCGCACGTCCTATTGCAATTAAACTGCCGTCTCAAACCATTAAATAGGCCGAGACGATCCAAAAAGGCAGCGCACCATCCAGTTCTCTTTCCAATTTAAAACATGTCATCTTAAACACCCTGTATGGTAGAAGGAAACCAATTTCAACACATTGAACAATACATAATACTTTACATAATCTGTAAACAAGGCAGTGTGTCTCCAGAGGAACGTGGTGTGAGATGGGGAAATACTGACAGACTGTGTGCAGGGGTGGAAAATAAAATCTCTGGTGCTGTATGATAAACACACACACACACCCAGCGGTGTGTGAACATCCCGTTCCGTACACTAACATCATCCAGGTGAGGTAATCACTTTAACACCATGTGTGTGATCTTGAAGAGGATATTACCGGATTATGTTTGAATATTTCAGGCAGCCTAAAGCAAACATGAAGTGATGATGGAAAAAAGTTTGGTGTCTTTTTTGTTTGTTCAAAGCTGACCACAGCATCTAATGACATCATCAATGGCCATTACACATATAATCTGATTAAAATCAGCAAAAAAGTTTCCACGATCAACCATTTCAGGATGATAATCGCGATATGTCATGAACACTATCAAGCTATCGAACTTTTAATGATGTGGGAAGAGGTCATTCTGGTGTGGGTATCATTACAAAAGCTCTTTGTATTTAAAGGAGTAGTTCACTTTAAAAAAAAACTTTTGCTGATAATTTACTCACCCCCATGTCATCCAAGATGTCCACGTCTTTCTTTCCTTAGTCAAAAAGAAATTAAGGTTTTTGATGAAAACATTCCAGGATTTTTCTCCATATAATGGACTTCAATGGGAACCAAACGGTTCAAGGTCCAAATGAGAGTTTCAGTGCAGCTTCAAAGGGCTTTAAACGATTCCAGACGATGATTAAGGGTCTTATCAAGGAACCATCATCATGACTCAAAAAAAGATTTGTTCATTTTGATGAACAGGAGAGTCCCGAATGTGCGTCACAGAACAGAGCAAGAAGAGCATTTGAGCTTATAAAACTTGAACGTTGTTATTTATTTATTAAATGAGCGATCGTTTCGCTTGATAAGACCCTTATTCATCATCTGGAATCGTTTAAAGCGCTTTGAACAGTTTGCAGTTTGCACTAAAACTCTCATTTGGACCTTGAACCGTTTGGTCCCCATTGAAGTCCATTATATGGAGAAAAATCCTGGAATGTTTTCATTAAAAATCTTAATTTGTTTTCGACTGAAGAAAGAAAGACATGGACATCTTGAATGACACGAGAGCGAGTAAATTATCAGAAAAAGTTTTTTTTTTTTTAAAGTGAACTACTCCTTCATACAAAAATAAAATCAGGTTAATGGTTGTAGGGGCAGATAAAGGAGGTTGACTTCTCAAACCCCTTTTAACCTAGAAACTGAACTGAACAGGTCAGCCTTAAAAACTAACGAAACAAGAGTGAACAAACAGATCAAACCATTCCATCAACACGTGTATCTAAATATCTATACTTGTTGAGCATCTTTGTAACTGTGGCTATTTTTAAAGAAACACTGCATCTAATTCTGATCAGTAAAGAAGAAGTATCTATCTATCCACGATGTGGGCGGTTAGTTGAGTGCAAAAATGTTTGTGACTAACTCTACTACTCCACCTCTGACCGAACTGTTTAAAAGGTTAAATCATGGAAATATCAAACACCATTAAGATTAGACGAGATTCCGCCTGCATCACCTTTCAGAAATAAAACGAGGTACTAGTTAGATTACGGAACTAAAAATCAGAGAAAAAAAATTATTCAGTAAATAAAAATTAAATAAGCACTATTTACATAACCGTGAACCCCCGACAAGGAATAAAAAAAAAACGTTTAGAAAAACAAAGCACATTCTAGTCAGTGTAATAGTGTTATCTTATCATCATACCTGTAGGTAAAAAAAGAGACAAGTGAAGTTTAAAGAATAATCATGATAGTTTCTTCTCATCTGTCTGTTTGGTTTCAGTGTCAGTGTATCTGGACTTGTTGTGGAGCTTCTGCAGGACCACATGACTAAAAAAGGAATGAGGAACGTGAGTTTTGAGTTTTTCCACTCGTGCTTTGTTGGCTTACTGTCACTCCCTCAGCACGAGAGCGCTCCTCTCTTATCCATCAGCGTGTTCCTACAGGCCGAAGCACGTTGGGCGCATCCATCAGGGTGAGGCGGGAGTCGAGTCTTGCAACATGTCACTAAAGATCTGAATGAGGTTGTCCAGACCCCACAGGTACCCGTCCTCCCGGTTCCCTTCGGCCCAGGGCGTCCGGTGGTCCAGGGTTTGGGGTGGTGGCAGTGGGATGGTCTTACCAAAGTCGATCATCCAGACTCGGGCCAGGCCTGAAGCGTCGTGCACGAACAGCAAGGAACTCCCAACCACCTGGAGAGAAACTTATGAGTCATGGTTTGTTTTGTTCAAGAGAAGACAATGATTTGGCCCAGGCAGGAAAGGATTTCTCAACATGTACAGAACCGATTCCTCACCTCGTGTGTCCTGAAAAACCCTGACGTCTCTAGAGCGCTGCGCAGCTCCGCCAGTCTCTGAAGATAACTCCTCTGAAACACAAACAGAACGCCAAGTATGCAGTAGCACGTCTCTGATGGGTTAACACAGCCTTCCGGCTGTGCAAAAATACACAACATGGCAATATTGCAGGAAACCCCTATTAAAGGGCCAGTAAGCGAGTGCTGTGGAGAGATGGCCGAGAGACAGTACAAAAGTGAGAAGCTCAGAGGAATATCACTGATCAGGCTAGAGTGGTTTCATTTGATATTAGAAAAGCTTTCCAGTGCTGGAGAAATTGTGTTGGAGCATTTTGGGTGTGGAAGAATGAGTTTTAAGTGTTAAAACTATAAATATACATAAAAAGTTACAGTCTGAAACATACTAAGGAAGGATTTATTGATTATACTTTATTTTAATGTGTCCTTGATCCAGTTTAAGTACTGTGTAATATAAATTAACTATACTACAGGTTTAGTTGCATGCGATTATACATAATTAACTGTTATTACCATAGCAAGTGCATGTGTAACAGACACGGTAGCAGTTTATTTTACAGTCCTGTTTCGTATGTACATACTAACTGCTTAATAATAACTGGGTAGTAACCCTGAACCTACCCATAAACCTGCAGTTTCCTCATATTAAGTAAATTCCTTGTATGTACAAACATTCAGGGCGAATAAACCCATTCTGATTCTGATTCTATTACTCAGAACTCTCTTATAGTAAATGTGCTGCAAGTACAAGTAAAATAAGGAGTAGCCAAAGACACTGTAAAAAAGTGTTAACAATTTATTAGTGTCAGAGAGATTCATAACTGCAAAGATATAAATGAACACTGGCAACAACACTTTTTTTTTGCTCACATTTAGTCCCATTCTTGGGGCTGTCAAATGATTAATTGCATCCAAAATAAAAGTTTGTGTTTACATAATATATGTGGGTGCACTGTGTATAATTATTTTACACACACATGCTTGTATATATTTAAGAAATATTTTCATGTATATAGATTTATATATCACTTATATTATGTATAAATATAAAAATTTTATTTATAAATAATATTTTTTTCTTAAATATACATGCATGTGTGTGTATTTATTTATATATATATATATATATATATATATATATTACACACAAAATAATTATACACAGTGCACCCACATATATTATGTAAACACAAACTTATATTTTGGATGCGATTAATCGCGATTAATCGTTTGACAGCCCTATAAAAAAAGTGAATAAAATTTGTTAATTTCCATGTCCTTATTTTTGTTTTATATACACACGTTTAAATAAAATTATGTATGCAAGTTATGAAAATAACATCAATAACTTGTGTAATATAAATATAATATATAGATATAAAATTATAAATATTTATAATTTAAAATTATAAATATAAATATATAAATATAAAATGATTTGAACAAAAAACAATAGTATAAATAATAATAAAATAAAGCAATGAATATTAGTTCCTATATTTGTCCAGTGGAACGGGTATTTCAAATGGAAAAAAACTTAATGTGTGTGTGTATTTTTTTTAAATATAGTAACAGAGTTGTTTATATTTAATATAGTACTATATTGTAGTTGACAACATTAATAATGCAGCCGAGGCTCTTGTTATTTAGAAAAACCTGTCATTGTCAGAACTGCCCTTCACAGAAATTCACCAAAAACCCCTCAGGAAGATATTTAGATAAATAAAACACTCTATGTCAGCAACTAAGGCTATTTTCATGGCAAAAATTAAATTACAAAAAAAATAAAATAAAAAAAAATAAAAATCATATAAATACAATAAAACCAAGCAAAAAAAACCCAACAAAAAGTCATATTATATATATATATATTTTTTTTTTAAATGAAACCTTTTCAGGCATAATCTTTTTCTTTTGCATTTTCACAAATATAATGCTAAAATAAATCATGAATGCCATTGGCTAAAGCTAATGAATTAAAACCTTTCCATTGAAACAACATACCAGTAACTGTGTGTTTCCATCCACAAAGTCCACCAAGGCCTTCGTCACCTGCTCCTTATGTTTGGTTTTTTTAAAGCTGGTGTTGCATGTGCCGTCTGCTTTCTAAAATAAAACACACAAAGTTAATGACAAGCTGAATTTTCAGCATCATCACTCCAGTCACATGATCCTTCACAAATCATTCTAATATGCTGACTTTGCTGATTTCTTATCATCAATTTGTTTTAAAAATCGAGTTGGTAGGTAGGTCAAATGATCGATTCATATTTAAAAAAAAATAAAAAATAAAATTTCCCCATTATAAATAATTTGGTGTTTAACAATCTTAGAGAAAGGGTTAGCCTTTGCAATTTTGTTTATGTTGATGCACTTTAATTAAATACAATAAATATATATTTTTAAAATATATTTACAGTTCGAAGTAATTTTGTTTTAAATGGAGGGGGGGGGGGGGGATTCAAATCAAAAATTTAGTTTTTTATAAAAAAATAAATAAAATTAAAATCTGATTTTTTTTTTTTTGGAAAACAAATTTAAAAAATAAAATAAATAAATAAATATAAAAAATAACATTTGCCCAGCTCTATAATGCTGCTTAATATTTTTGTGGAAAAACCATTATACATTTTTTTTTCAGGATTCAGAATGAACAAAGCTCATCCTGAGTGACCAGATCAAGTAATATGTCTATTTAATCCGCTACACTCCCACCTTGATGCCCTCGATGCGGAAGCCGAGCGTGGCGGTGGAGCTCAGCGTCTCCCTCCACTGCATGTATCGAGGTTTGAGAACGGCCTGCTGGGCTCTCTCCTCTGGACTGGGCGCTCCCGGGTCCACAGCCACCATTTTCTCATACATGTCCTTCCTGAGACGAGGACGCTCGCGGGCCTTCACCAGCTCTTCCTCCAGGTATGTCCTGTGGTAAATCAAACGAAGCCATCAATCACACCATTCACAACCCTCCTTCATTTATGACGTCAACCTCACAGAGCCATCCAGTTTGTCTGGTTAGGGCTGGTCTGGATTTGGGAGGTTTTAACAAATAAGCTTATTTGGATCATCTCTGTAAACATGAACTGATCATTCTGTAGGGGTGTGGCAATATATCGCAATACAAAAGTGCATCAAATGCATCATGGATAGTAACTATAGTACCATATTGTAGTTGACGACATTAATAATGCAGCCGAGGCTCTTGTTATTTAGAAAAACCTGTCATTGTCAGAACTGTCCTTCACAGAAATTCCCCAAAAACCCCTCAGGAAGATATTTAGAGCGACTGTTTTATCTATGTCAGCATCTAAGGCTATTTTCATGGCAAAAATTAAATTACAAAAAAACAAATATCATGTAAATGCAATTAAACCAAGCAAAAAAACAACAAAAAGTCATATTAAATATATATATATATATATATATATATTTTTTTTTTTTTTAAATGAACATATGATAAAAAAAAAAATAAAATCAGACAAAATCTTACAAAATAAGTTCATAAGAGAAATAACTCATATCACTGTATAATGTTGCACTGAATGTATAATAATGCAATGGGGGGATATTTGTGGGTCCTGATAATGCCAAAAAAAATGTCTGATGTTACCAGTAAAAAGTTGCCGACATTATTTTAAATACATCTTCTCAGTGATTCAGAGTGCACATTCGCCTAAAATAATTGTGTATTTTCAGCTTCAGAATCATCAATATTGTTATTCTGGTTTCTCTATTGTCTTGGGTTACGAGCACCAAGGCTATTCAATTACACACACAATACCAAATTTTTTTTTGTTAACGTTTTACCATATGTCTTGGAGTATCGCAATAATATCGTATCGTAATATGTATCGAATCGTGACACCTCTACTGATCTGTATTCTCACCTGCTTCCCATCTTGCAATCCATGATCGAAGGGGAGTCAAAGTCGGTCAGCAGATCATCCATCAGGTTGTAATCCTGGTCATTCTGCTGCACGACACCATAATAACCAGGTACAAAAGGCCGGAGGTTGTCATTCATCAGCTTCTCCAGACACTGATGTTCACATTCACAATACTTCTTCAACAGTTTCCCATACTCGCCCGCCTGGAAACTACCTACACACAAAGAGAGGCAAAAACAGTGTTCAAAATGATGTCTCAGATGCATTCGTCTCCTCCATTCATCCAGCAATGAAATGAAAATGAGTTTTTACCTGCATGGCCTGCGAGCTGAATCCAAGGATATCGTTTCTTAAAGGAAACCACAAAGGGAGAGCAATGCACCATGGTCTTCAACTTTTTCCACGATTTAGCCTGAAATCAAAGATCGCATATGCTCAGATCATCTCCTCATCCCACTTCAATCACATCTGTTTTCTCGAAACTATAAATACATTGGGTAAGAGTGCTCTGATTGGTCGGGTCTCTCGAAAGGCCAATCAGATGAGACAATTTCATAATAACAACCTTTATTTTCTATAGCGCCTTTAAATGTACATCTCAAAGCGCTGTACAAATACACACAGAGACATAATACACCGTAAAATAAACTAGGCCTGTCACATCCAAACGTTCCAAACGTTCATAAACGTTTGTGTTTACAAAATATATGTGGGTGCACTGTGTATATATATATTATATATATATATATATATATATATATATATACACAAAAACACACACATGCATGTATATTTAAGAAAAAAATATTTAATATTTATATCAAATTAATGATAATAAATTATATATAAATCTATATACATGTATATACAGTATATATTTAAGAAATATTTGCATGTATATACTTTATATTTATACAAAATTAAAGTTATACATAAATATAAATATTTGATATATTAATAACACATTTTTCTTTAATATATACATTCATATGAGTGTATTTATATATATAAAATAATTATACACACTACACACACACATATATTATGTAAACACAAACTTTTATTTTGGATATGAACACAAACTTTTATTTTGGATGCGATTAATCGCATCCAAAATAAAAGTTTCCTGTCATTAATGTTAATCAAACAACAAAAGAGATAAAATTACTGTAAATTACTAAAGATTAATCTAGATTTAATTCACACAGTGATTTACATTTGTTGATAAACCCGTTCCTAATTAAGAGATACTTATTCCTAAATAAGAGCGAATGGAATATGTACTTGTTTGTTAATAAATAAATAGTTGTCAATTCATGAGACTCTCTCATATCTTCATTTTTTTTATACTTAAAATTCATTGTTGTTAAGAAAGAATAGAATTATTTATTATGGTAATCAGTATCAATGATTTTGAGTTTCTGTAAAAACACTGACACCTTTCTTCTCAGGCATGGGAACGACTTTATCAGCGACACAAGGTCAGCGCGGCAGCCGTGACGCACGCGCTCTACAGATTACAGGTTATTGATTATAAAGCTCTGATCGATGAGGAATGTGTGAGTGTGGGAAATGACATAACTCGGCGGTTTGCAGGAGTGCTAGGATGCCTTTCATATTCACTGACAGATTCCTAAGATGTTTTTCTCTTTATCTTTTTTTTCCACTTGCTTTGACAGGAATACGGAAACAGTTTCCTGAATAATCTGTTTTCAGAACATGACCTACTTAATATGATGACACCACATTGAAAATATGGAACTTTTTTTCTCATTTAAACTATTTACTTAATATTTATGTAACTATAGCAACTAAAAATGATTCTGTATTCCCTTAAGAAGAATCTTCACTTACGGTCTCACTTTCAGGTCTCTTTCCCTTTTCTTTATTCCCCAGTACAATTCACACATTCATTCCCTTCTTCCAAACCATCCCCCTCTTTCAACATGTGCCCTGTAGAGTCGACAGCTCGCTCTCCACACTTAGATGTAATTCAGTCTGTCCTCTCTCTTCCTTCCTGACCCCCTTTGACGACACTATAGCCAACAGGGGACAGACGACACCTCATAAAAGACCCGTCTTCCCTCCTGTCCTTCTGCCTGGTTACACACACTCCTCCAAACTTCAGGAGAGAGGGATGACATTTCATTTCACTGTAAAATATATAGTTCACACTAAAATATGAACTGCTGTCATGGTGACGACGGCCGTGCCTTGTGGAGCGTCACAATGAGATCCACTCCTGGGTCAAAGGTCAGACCCACCCTGGACAAACAGAGACGCTGTATCTTAATGTCTGACTTATCTCAAGGACTTACACACACACACTGTTTAACATCCCGGGCTCATTTCTCAGGTTACTGCTGCTTTAATGTAACTTTTGATCAACTTAACGCATCCTTACTGAATAAAAGTTGGCTAATTTATTTTTTATTCTGAACCCAAACTTGACATGTAGTGTATCTCTCGCAGAAAAGACAGAAATGCATAATAATGAAACTTGTTTAGGTCATAAAATGTCATGTGGTGTGACTCCTCAATTGATATGGATTCATGATATTTGTAAAAAAAAAATATATATATATTTTAATAATAATAATAAATATATAAATAATAATATATAATATAATAAAAAAATAAAAAAAATATATATATATATATAAAATATATATAATTAAATAAATATATATATATATATATATATATATATATATATATTATAATATATATTATTATTTATGTGTGTGTGTGCCATGAAACACAGAAAGTAAACATGTTATTACTATTTACTTTCCTTGAAAATAATGTAAAGATTCAAAACATGAATACAATGAACACGTGTGTGTGAGAATGTCTCTTACCTGGCAAGCAAGACAGCAGACAGGCACAAACGTATGGGTAAAAACAAGCATGCACTAACAACACATTTAAAACACACAAGCGTGCAGAGACCCACGACTCCCGCACTGCCCTGCAACCACACATGCATCCGGGAAACAGACTGAGCCACACACACACACACACACACACACATCATGTGCATGGAGCACTGATACACTCAATCTCTCTCTCACTCTCTCTCTATGTTAATTCTAGGTCTCTCGCTCACATGGACTTCTGCTCAACTGTCTCTCTAAACGTATCAGTCCTTTGTCTCACTCGTCAGTCAATGCGTTCTCCTTCTCATATGTCCCCCTACACACTCTTATCTCTCTCTCTGATCCTAATCCATCTTCTTTCACTAGCTCTCACGGATGATACATGCACTCCTGCCTCATTCACTCCCTTCTTGCTAAACACTGACAAGATTATAATGAAGTGTAAAAGAACATGTAAACAATCTCATGACAGAATGAGAACATTATTATGCGGTTGGGTGTTCTGACTTACAGGCAACCAGTCATATTAATGACTGGGGACTAATACCAGGATTTTCTCCATATAATGGACTTCAATGGGAACCAAACGGTTCAAGGTCCAAATGAGAGTTTCAGTGCAGCTTCAAAGGGCTTTAAACGACACCAGACGATGAATAAGGTCTTGTCTAGGACCCTTCGAGTCATCGAAAAAAGATTTGTTCGTTTTGATAAACGAGTTTGAACTGGAGAGTCACGAACGCGCATCACAAAACCGAGCAAGGCGAGCATTTGTGCTTATAAAACTTAAACTTTATTTATTTTTTTAAATGACCGATCGTTTCGCTAGATAAGACCCTTATTCATCGTCTGGTGTCGTTTAAAGCCCTTTGAAGCTGCACTGAAACTCTCATTTGGACCTTGAACCGTTTGGTCCCCATCGAAGTCCATTATATGGAGAAAATCCTGGAATGTTTTCATCAAAAACCTTAATTTCTTTTTCTTTTTTTGGGCATCTTGGATGTCATGGGGGTGAGTAAATTATCAGCAAAAGTTTTTTTTTAAAAGTGAACTACTCCTTTAAAGGTTTTAAAGGTTAAATGCTGCTTTAAAAGAAAATTCCCATCTGACTTCATGGATCTTCTCTGTGTTCTCCTGACACCAATCATGTAAAAGACACTAAATAAATCATTTTAATAGTTTAGTAAATAATGATGACAATCAAATCATAATGACAGCAAACGCCACTAATGTAATAAATGTGCTTTTCTGGTCTGTTTGTGTTTGAACACGCTGTAAAAACCCCACCCACCCCATCACCACCTCCTCCGCCACTGCAGATATCCATTTTCCACTTCTCTCTTTCCCTCTCGATCTTCTGATCTCTCTCTCTCTCGCTCTAAGAAGCTCCTAAAGCATTGCACGCATAATAGAGATAAACTTGTCCAACAGCTTCACACAAAGCAAAAGACAAATGTCTTGCATTCTTCCTGTAAACTGCTTAAGTTGTATGGAGTGTTTGGCTTTGTCTGAGAAGTGGCAAAGCAAGCTTATCAATGCTTTACGTCATCACATGCTGTGTTGCGAGATACCTTCAGCATGACAAAAAAGTAATACACACAAAGCATCATGATCAGTGAAGTGAGGTGCGACACAGATTAAGAGATGAAGAAACAGAAGTGTGAAGCAACACCATATATGGATTCATGGTTACTTAGCGACAAAGGAACCGCCCACAGCTGAGTTTTCCATGACAGTGTGAGCGATGGTTAAATGATGACATCAGAACTTGTGTGTGTGTGTGTGTGTGTGTGTGTGCACGGGCCTGTGGATGTCAGCAGCTGAATGCAACACACTCAATTTTGGCTCATTCATTCAAAGACCACACAAAAATTTGAATATGCAGCTTGCATGACGCTAATGTACAGCAAACGCAAAGGAAAAACACTTGTAATTTGAACATACTAAATAATCCCTGACAGGGTGATGAGGAACTTTTGGGGCTTATTACATGTAGACTTAATATTTTGTTGCCCTTTATTTGTTTGACTTGGAATTATTTAATTATGTGAGATATGAAATTATTAGAGATATATGACAGACTTGCACAAAAGTGCAAGGATGCATTAAAGGATGCATTGCTACGAGAATTTTCAGTCACACTTCATTAAAGATTAAAGTCCAATTCTCACCATTAACTAACTATTAACTATGACTTTTGCTCCTAATTACGGCTTATCAATAGTAGTTAATAAGGAATTGTTAAATTTAGGTATTGGATCGGATTAAGGGATGTATAATAAATTAAGCAGAATAAGGCCAGTGTATATGTATATGTGCTTTATAAGTAATAATAAACAGCCAATATCCTAGTAATAGGTATATGCATGCTAAAATAAGCAACTAATAGAGAGTAGAGGAGCCTAAACTAAAGTGTTAAAGGAGTAGTTCACTTTTGAAAAACTTTTGCTGATAATTTACTCACCCCCATGTCATCCAAGATGTCCATGTCATTCTTTCTTCAGTCGAAAAGAAATTAAGGTTTTTGATGAAAACATTCCAGGATTTTTCTTCATATAATGGACTTCAATGGGAACCAAACGGTTCAAGGTCCAAAAGACAGTTTCAGTGCAAACTGTTTAAAGGGCTTTAAACGATTCCAGACGATGAATAAGGGTCTTATCAAGCGAAATGATTGCCGATTAAAAAAAAACAAAAACAAAGTTTAGGTTTTATTATAAGAAAATGGTCGCCTTGCTCTGTTCTGTGATGCGCGTTCGTGACTCTCCTGTTTGAACTCGTTTATCAAAATGAACAAATCTTTTTTTGTGTCATTTGGTTCATTCAACAAACGTAATGAACAAACTGACTCGGGAAAAGATTCGTTCATTTTGATGAACGAGTTCGAATATGAGAGTCACGAACGCGCATCACACCCTAACCCTAACCCAATTGGTTCCCATTGAAGTGCGTTATATGGAGAAAAATCCTGAAATGTTTTCATCAAAAACCTTAATTTCTTTTCGACTGAAGAAAGAATAACATGGACATCTTGGATGACATGGGGTGAGTAAATTATCAGCAAATGTTTTTTTTTAAAGTGAACTACTCCTTTAAGGCCCTTGCACACTGAGTCCGAAATTCATGTCCAAAATTTTCGCACGGTAAAAAATAAAAACGACCTCACGTTATGTCAATGACGCTTGCACACTGCCTCCAAAACTTTCGTCCGTAATAAAAAATAAAATACAAAATAAAATAAAAAAAATTAAATCGTGTTCGATTTTCTGCATTTTTCGCATCCCTAGCAAGCAGTTTGAATGGTGTTTTGACAATTCAGAGTCACCAAATCACAAATACAAAAAAACGCATTTGATAATTTCGGACTCAGTGTGCAATGGCCTTTACTGAAATTTCTATTAAAACAAATTTTGTTCTTTTGAACATTTCGTAACATCAAATAATCCAGAAAAACATGCATCATGGTTTAAGCAGCAATCCTCATATTAGAGTGATATGATATCTGAAGGATCATGTGACACTGAAGACTGGAGTAATGATGCTGAAAACTCAGCTTTGATTTACATTTTTACAATGACCATAGTGATTTTAAACTGTTTTCACAATATTACTGTATTTTTGATCAAATAAATGCAGCCTTGGTGCAAATTAGAGACTTTCAAAAACCTAAAAACCATTAGAAAATATGAAGGGTGGTGGTGTAAGATGTACATATGGAGAAAGATCCGGGAAAACAATCAGTGCGGGAAAGATGGAAAGATTACGAGGAGCCAGTGAACTTCCTGACTGATTCATCCTGATTCACGGATCAGCCAGACATGAACAAAACTCGCTGTATTTATATGGATAATGGGAGACTGAGTGGGAAACTGGTGATTAGCACAGATCTGCTAATGAAACGCCCACATGTGCAAGTAAAGCATTTTATCAGTTCTGTTTTTGCTGACGCTGGTCATATTTTCCAGCAACCCTGCAGACGAATAAGTCACTGTAAGACCCTTATATTCCTCAAACTGACTCAAAGCGCATTCAAAGTAGTATAGATTTGATCAGAATGTTTGTTCCTGGAAATCAAGCCCAAGGCCTTGGTGTTGCTCACGTCATGCTTTAGCACTCGAGGTTCAGCGACAGACAAGCCTACTCAGATCACTGAACGCCCGGTCAGTCTGTGAACGAGAGTTTCGGTTCAGATCAAGGTAAACAAACGTCTCTTCAGAGATATGAAGTCACTCAAAGCTTCAGCAAGTTTCAGATGGATTAGCCATCCGGACCAAAACTGACTGAGCACATTGTCTAACCAAGATTGAAGCGTCAGACACACGGGATTTGGGGGATTTTTCCAGCTGGAGTCTCATGTATCATTACAATGACTCTCACTCCTCCATTAGTCACATTAAATCAATCAGTGACCTTTGGAAATAATGTTTTTTTTTTTTCCAGAAACTAGAAGAGTTTCTATTCTTCATCTTCAGAGTTTCGCTCATACTTTAAAAACATCCCCGTTTACATTAGGTTTATCTTACTCACTTTAGTCTCCAACACCTAAAAGGCAAATATATGGTGTAGTTGCTAACTTTCCACAGAAAAAAATAAATAAAATCCTCCGTCAACTGTTCCAAGAGCCAAAAAAATATATCAGAGCCTGAACACGAAATAGTTTTCCAGACTAGAAATTATTTGTCAGAAAGATATTTCAGTAACCTTTTTGATGATTACTAAAAGCCAGACGATTTACATAAAATATCAGGTTCGTGTCAACGTACATTAGAGACAACACTTTTGCAGAACAAAAGCTGGAGATGAATAGATAATGAGATTAAAAATAGCTGTAATTTCTAAACAGTTTCACTGTGACTCAGTGCGTAAGCATCCTAATAATCTTCATTCTTACATGCCAACTGAAGCTATACTGTAGATCAACAACAAGTCAAACGCAACAGAGTTGTAAACATAATGCTGAGAAGTTCCTTACAGGCAAGAATAACTCATAATCACTGCGTTTAAAGGAACAGCAGGAGATAAGCAGCACATGACCTCACGTCTGCTACAGGACTTGACAATAAATTTGCTAATAAAGTTGTGCACAAACACTTATCAAGAGCCCTTCCCTAACCTTTGAGACAGACCCTTGGGAAAAAGAAGAGGCTACACTCGTAATTATGCATCCAAAAAGTGTTCAGTTTGCAAGTATATTATCTATCTATCTGCTAAATTGACTCATTTACATATTTATTACAAATATTATATACTTTAAGATAATATTATCTATCTATCTATCTGCTAAAGTGACTTATTTATAGGGTTGGGTATCGAGAATCGAGTATCGATTGGAACCGAGACTAACTTTTCGTTTTTCCCGGAATCGTTCAAAAGTTAAAAATTTCGATTCCTAGTTTCGATATTCACAGTCCGCCGACCGGAAGAAGAAACCGCTGAACAACACCAAATAAGAAGCGTCTACCGGAAGTGTTGGCATAACCGCGCGAGTCGAACATGAGTACCTTACGTCGGCGGTCCAAAGTGTGGCTTCACTTTTCTAAAAATAACGAAATCTTGGCAAAATGCAAAATTTGTGACAAAAGGAGTATTTTTACAGAAGGAGTATTTCCTTCAGAAAGGCCGTTGGTTAGCATGGTTAGCTAAACTTTTTTGACCCTGCCTCTTAAAAGAATCAGAATCGAGAATCGTTAGGAACCGGAATCGAAACAAGGAATCAGAATCGTTCAAATTCAAACGATACTCAAGCCTACTTATTTACATATTTATTACAAATATTATAAACTCTAAGATAATATACTTGCAAACTGAACACTTTTTGGACACTTGCAATTAATTTAATATATATTGTAGATTAAATTTATATTAAATTCAGTTAGTCGAACTTAATCGCTTATTTTTTTTACATACTTAAAGGGTTAGTTCACCCAAAAATGACAATTCTGTCAGTATTTACTTACCCTCATGTTGTTCCAACCCCGTAAGACCTTCGTTCATCTTCAGAACACAAATTAAGATATTTAAGATATTAAGATCGCTCCTGCATACTAGTCCATAGGCTTCTTGAGGGAATGACTATTGCGGTCCTCAAAAAGTCATCAAAGACATCGTTAAAATAGTCCAAGTGACTACAGTGGCTCAATTTTAACTTTATCAAACGACGAGAACACTTTTTGTGCACAAAAACAAACAAAAATAACAACTTTATCTCAACTATTCACTTCCTTCTCCATGAGCCTGTAGTCAGTTAACGTAGTGTGATTGCGTAGAGCTACGTCACACGTAGGCTCACTATTGGCCGACGCTGGTCATGTGTGTGATGCGTGTGATACAATAACAGAAGCTTACGCTATTAAACTAGTAACCTGACTCGAGGCAGAGGGAGAAATAAACGAATAGTTGAAATAAAGTCGTTATTTTTGTTGTTTTTACGCACAACAAGTGTTCTCGTCGTTTGATCAACTTAAAATTGAGCCCCTGTAGTCACTTGGATTATTTTAACGATGTCCTTTAATGACTTTTCAAGGCCAGCAAGTCATTCCCTCAAGAAGCCTATGGACTAGTATGCAGGAGCGATCTTAATATCTTAAATATCTTAATTTGTGTTCCGAAGATGAACGAAGTTCTTACGGAGTTGGAACAACATGAGGGTGAGTAAATACTGACAGAATTTTTATTTTTGGGTGAACTAACCCTTTAAGCAGGACACATCTTTACATTTAAGTCGTATTTTCACGACGACTCCAATTTTTGTCCGATTCTTACCAAAATTGTCGTTTTAAATGATCGATGAACGGATTTAATTTAAGCTTTTATTCACATATAAACATTCATCAACGCATCAAAGCTCAAGAGTTCGTGCTTGATGTGCGAGTACCAATGAGGTTCATTCTCGTGTTACGCAGCACGTTTGAGCTTCAGCAAGAGCCAATGAGGTTTGTTCTCGCTTGGTTGAGCTTCTGTCTATGTTTCTCTTCTGATCAATGTTTACATGCGAATAAAACCCTCAATTTAATCTGTTTATCGTACAAAGCCATCAAGTCTCTTTAGAAACTATGGATTAAACAGCTCAATTCATATGCATTAGTTTTACGATCACTTTATCGGCTTTTTGACACGTCAAAGTGGTAGTTGCGTAGCTGTCAATGGAGGGACGGAAATTATTGTTAGGCTATTATTAAAAAAAATATCTTAATTTGTGTTTTGAGGATGAATGAAAGTCTAATGGGTTTGAAACATGAGTGTAATGACAATTTTTATTTTTGAGTGAACTATCCCTTTAATAAAGACTAAAAGCATTTAAAATGGTAAAACTGGACACTTACCCCAGCCAGTTCATCGGGACTGCCGAACATACTGGGGGACAGACTGGTGGGCTCAATGTCACTGCCTGTGAAGTCATCCTCAGACTCCTCAAACGACGAGGCAGAGGATAATCCAGCAGAAGAGGAGCTGGAGAGTTTTCTGTGGAACAGAGAGGGCGCAGGGGAGCCTCCGCAGCCGCTGTCCGAGCAGGGCGAGTCCTCGTCGGGGTGCAGGTCCAGAGAAAACCCGCCCATGCTCAGCGTCAAATCCGTGATGCGCGGACTGTCCTGACCAGGACCCAGATCATCATGGGTGACTATTAGTTTGGGAATAATCCTAGGGAACGGGATCGAGACTTTATGCTCCCCTTCTTCTTCACTCCTCCTATCAGACGTTGAGGCTTTCAACGTACTTTTGGTCATTTTCTGTTTAGCCAACGGAGACGAACAGCTGAAGTCTACAAGAAAGTCTGGGGTGTTCAGGCACTGGGTTACATTTTCCTCCGAAACTCTGCCTGGAGTCACGGCACCTCCTGACATTCTTTCCATGTCCCACAGCGAGACGCAACACTCATGGTTCTCCTCCACCCGTCCTCCTTTCTGTCCGCCTTGGCAATCCGAAACTTGAATCTCGAAGTCCGTCGCGCGACTCAGAAGAATCAAGTTTTCGGGCGCATGTTGATTACCGGAAGAACTCGCGTTTAAAAACAGCTTTTTCGATAGTTCATCCACAGAAATCTTCCCCTGTTTATAATCGTCCCGCCAGAACTTCTTAACAGTCGGCAGCTCTCTGGTTTTCATCGGACTCTCGTTTAACCAGTCACCGGTGTGTGGCGAACAAAAAACTCCTCGCACGCGCGCTCGTACTATGGAGCTCGCGAGCGCTGCGATGCTGCTGCAGTGTGAAGAGTTGCTGGATGTTGATTGGCCCATCCTGCACACCGTAGCGATCCCTCACGCAGACCTTTAAATGCCACGCCCACTACTGGCTCTGGCGAAGGACTTTAACCCTGTGAAGCCTGACAAATAATAGTCAAACATTTTTTTTAAATGGAACAGTTTATTGTATATTTATATTAAATATAACCATATTTGATACGTCAAGCTTTTATGGTCCATATATTATCATATTAGAGAAAATGGAGCGATCACACTCGTTTTATTCACTCGTTTACCTGTTTTATTCAGGCGCAAACTTAGCAAAAATATGCAATTTGGTGCAGATGTTATTTCAATTCAATTCAAATTTATTTGTATAGCGCTTTTCTCAATACATATTGTTTCAAAGCAGCTTTATTTGTAGCAGTTATTTGTAATTATTTGTATGGCCAAAAGTTGAGATACAATTTTGATAGCTTAATGTAGCCTAAATTAATGATATTTTTTACAGTAGCCTATATCAGTTGTCACTCAATACCTCCTAATAGCCAAAGTCTTATTAGTCTAGATATAGTTTAATTGTGCGGGGAAAAACACATAATGCAATGTGCCAATGCGATACAGTGATGTTTGAGAAACAAGTTTGTTGTATCACAGGCTAGCCTATTTTAAACTTACATTCTAACATGATATTTAAAGATGTAAGACATTGATAAACAAGTTTGGGTCACCATTGACTTCAGTTCTTAAGAAATAAGTAAAAATGTTTAAGCTTAACCTAAACCCAAAATAATATACTTTTACAAATAGCCTATTAAACAAACAAAGTTATAAAGTTTAATATGTGACTTATAAGTGATCCCAACACTTACCAGAAGAGCTCTTCTTCAATAAAAATGCCATAGCCTATAAATCATGAGGGGGGAATGTTGAACGAACTTGGTCATTTGATTGAACAAGATTATGACTGTGTTTCTGTATGGTTTACATTATTGTCATCTGGGTTGTCTTTGTCTCCCTCCAGTGTTTAAAGAGGGAAAGCACATGTCTAAAGATTGAGCAAATTTCGCAGCATTTTATGTTGTTTTTTTCCACCCTGATAAAAGAAAGAAGGTCGTTATGGATGGAAACGACATGTCAGTTAATAATGCTATAATTTTCATTTTTGGATGAACTAACAAAACAGCATTTGTAAAATCTAGCTACACTGCACTGTCTGCACCCTAACATATTCTTATTTTGCTCAGCTTTCAAACAAACCGTGTTACAGTAATGACCACAGGACACCACATTCACCACAGGGTTATTCAATAGATAGTATAAAACCACAAAAGAGCAAGAATAAGTGTTGCATTAGTAAAGAAATTAAGTGTACATGAATTTAACGTTACAAAAATGTAACAATTAAATAAAATGGAAGAAAATCGCATTGTGTACGAAGAGTTATGTAAGACTGACACACACACACACACACACACACACACACACACGCACACACACACACACACGCGCGACACACGCACACACACACACACACACACACACGCACGCACACACACACACACACGGATGTATTGTTGTGGCACAAGTTTCCTGCGATAGGAAGTGTGATCTTAAGTGTCAACAGCTCTTGCTTTAAGGCTGACGACAGACCAGTGTCGACGAGCCCTTCTGCATGTCTTTGTCTGAAGCAAACGTGACTATCAAACATTCCTGTCTGATAAGCATTGTGATTATTTACCCTCATATTTACTATTTCTGGAATTCTGCATCTAATTAAATGTTCCAATTTTGAAATTTTAAACAAATTTATAAAATGACGCATTAAACTGAAATTAATTAAAGTGAGGGTATAAACTTTTATGTCATACAAATATATATTTTAAAACATTACATGCGTTAATAATCTATCAACAAAAATATTAAGCAACATGTTTTAATTTGTTATAAGAAGAAGAAATGCAGCAGATGATCTAAATGTGACACTGAAAGACCAGACTTTGATCACAGAAATAAATTAGGCTACATTTTAAAATATATTCACATTGAAAACAGTCAATTATATATTTTACTGTTTTTTTTTTTTGTTGTTGTTGTTTTGTTTTTTCTAATAAAATGTAACATGACTGTTTAAAAAAGTTTAATGTTACAGGACTCAATACTAAATTTGAATGTACCGGCTTCATACACTCCTTCGTATGTTTGCTGCATGGAGAACATGTCATGTGCCGATGTTTTACAGTATCTTACGCATTAGTAACCTAATGAGTCATTAAAACACACCCTTCTCAACAACCTTTGATTTGCATAGGAGAGAACTGGACATGAATCATATTGAGGATTATGATTTATGAACGTGTATGGGCTTTAGTAAGATGCTGATCTGAGGCCTGTATGACTCCTCATGCTCCCGATACAGTGTAAGAATGAGCACTACATTATTAATCACATATAGGCAACATTTTGTGTGATGATTAGGCTACAAAAGCAAAACTAATGTTGAAATTCTCGCAGGTTACGATAGTGCGATGACACCTAGATGATTAAGAGGAGTTTTAGGATTAAATATGGACAATTACAATTTTCCCATGTTGCTCAACAAACAGATTATACCGGAGGATGATTGTCATAGTCTACAAATATGTCATGAAACTATGAAATGGATGAAACTGATCTGTTCGATCAACATTATTATTAATTTGTTGTATTATTAGGCTAAGTGTGTAACAGTATATTACCCGTTGTATGTCATAATTACTTTTTATAATATAATTTAATGTCATATTTGTCAAGTTTTTAGTTTGTTTATTCATGTTTTAGGCTTGTTTTTTATCTGTTGAGTTTCTGTCTAAGTTTGTTATTAGAGTCCTCCTTGTTCCTCCTGTTTGTCTCCATGGTTATTGATTTGATTAGAGTATTCTGTTCAGGTGTGTGTTTATGTCTCGAGACCACTATAGCTGTGTCTGAAACCGCTCACTCGTTCACTCATTCACTAATCCCTATATAGTGTATGGCATTTGAGTGCACTATATCTGCAAGGAGTGAAGGAGATGAAGTGAGTAAATTCGGACGCTGACGTTTACACTGTGCGTCGGAGAGTTGGAGCTGTCGCAGAAAAGGCTTTGTCACGCGTACTGATAAAACTCCTTTTATCTTACATTACCTAGTTTATAAAATAATATTAACAACAATAACAATCATAATGACTTTATTTTGTAATTATACCTCCGTGCCAGCTTTGTAGTTTCATCGACTGAAATTGTACATTAACTCTCACGTTCACAGATGACGTGTCGTCGAGCGCCCTCCGGCGACCGTTATTATGTTCAAAACGACGATTAACGGATATTTTTCAAATCCTCCACTGTAATGTAATCTCTGGTTTAAACTTGCTCGCGCCGAACTTTCATGCGCGCTCAGTTCTCTCCGCATTGGATTGTGGGAAATAGGGCTTCAGCGAGTGTACATCGAATGTACACTCGAATTCAGAGAGGATTGTGGGTAAAAGTAGTGAATGAATGTAGGGAATGATGTCGTTCACTCGGACACAAATTCGGACACCACTACAAAATGGCCGACACCCGATATAGTGCACTATTTAGTGGATAGGGAGCGATTTCAGACACAGCTTATGTCTCGGTCTTGTCACGGCCTTTGCTCTGGTCTCGAAGCTCTCGCTGTCTCAGACCGACAGTGGTCAGGGGATTTAGCAATACAATACAATATCCACTCTCTCAAATTTTCCCAAAGGGCTCCTGAACAAACAAATGACTCGATTTATCTCAGGAAGGGCAAGGCATTGCTGATGATGCCATTCAGTGATTCATGCGTTTCATTCAGTGGTTCATTAGTGGAACGACATTATCAGCATCTCTTTTTCGGTTTTGCTCCTGGTTCTACTTTTCAGATGTGCTGGTGCTCACACTGACCTCCGCTCAGTCCACACTGTGACTTTCAGATCTGCTTTCGCTGTGGAAGTGAAGGTGTTGGTGAATGAGCGCGTGTGTGAATTCTCATCCGTTTTCTTTGGTCAGTTTAACGTCCTGGAAATTGAAGCACATCCACTTCTGAACATAAAGCCTACAGTTACTTCATTTTCATTAAATCATATTAATTATTTGATATTGTACTGAAACTCGCATTTGGACTTTGAACAGTTTGGACCCCATTGAAGTCCATTATATGGAGAAAATCCTGGAATGTTTTCATCAAAAACCTTCATTTCTTTTCGACAGAAGAAAGAAAGACACGTAATCCCACTAATCCTTTAATGCTGGAGTTTCTTCTTTCAGGAAGTATTTCAGCAGAACATGGAAGCGTCAAGGTCTCACAGCTTGGTCGAGTTGGCATTTGTTCAGTTTGGTGCAGTTGTATTAATGTTCCCATAGACTCAACACCATGACGCAGCATCAGGTTCCCTCAAAAGGCAACGTCTTAGGGCTATGCATGTGCGTTCTTCTTTAGACAATTCAAATTAATGAGAAATTGTATTAAATCAAAAATAATAATCCCAATTTCAATATCAAGGCAAATAATGAATCACATTAAAAAGTCTTCAAATTAAATGTCATTTTCTTCTTTTAATATATGCTTCCTCTTGTCGTTCTAAAACGATTCATTCGGTCCAAAGAGAACTATATAAGGCATCAACTGAAATTGTTTTAATTTTGGCACTATATAATCGCACAAAAACTAAACGATATCAAGTTATATCGTACAGCCCTAGTTTCGAATTCAGCAACAGATACTTGATTTGTTCGAATGAGTCAGTGTTTAAACGAATAGGCTGGGTAATGATTCAATGACTCGATTTGTTTCAGAACAAATTGGTTAAATGAATGATTCAATGACTCACTCTTAAAGACAGCCACCTAATGGTATATTAATACTCTTCCATATACTTCTGTAAATACCTGTAGAATTGCACATTTACAAGGCATACTGATTAAAGTAGTAGTTCACTTTTAACAAAACCTTTGCTGATAATTTACATCCAAGATATCCATGTCATTCTTTCTTCAGTACAAGTCGAAAATTAAAACATTCCAGGATTG